GTGTAGTGTGTGTGTGTGTGTGTATGTGTGTGTGTGTGTGTGTGTGTGTGTCTGTGTGTGTGTGTATGTCTGTGTGCGTGTGTATGTTTACACATGCATAAACATATATACATACATATTAACATTATATTATTATTATTATATGTTAACCTTATATTCGCGTCGCCAATACGATGTAGCACAACTGAATATATAAAATGTACTAGGTAGAACCACAGACACACACACACACACACTCTCTCTGTAGGTACAGTCTGTGGTAGAACTCTCTAGAAAATGTTCCGTGATGCTACACGTACAAACACACACACTCACGCACGCACGCACGCACACACACACACACACACGCGCGCGCACAAACATAATACATAACTACATATTATTCAAAATCACAGTTTTTACACATATATAAGTGTGTAATAATAATTATTGTAATAATAATCTGATAATCGAAAATGGCGTTCCTTTATGTGGAAAATGTGGTAAATTTACAACAGTTAATTAAATTACTTTGACATTAATGCACACATATTTGTAGTGTTTGCATGCTATCTATCATACTTTCAGTATTTGCGTAGCTGTTGGCTATCACTAAATACAGAACTAAAGTGGTTGACTTATTGCGAAAATACATACACGAATGTTTACGCTTATATACTTTAACGTGTTGCATTTGTAACAGTGTGCCGCTCTAGTTGTATTTGCCGGCAATCTCTCCCGAAACATTACAAACAAATCTCAAAAATGACAATGGTTCAAACGATGAAAATTCTGACCAGTACAAGCATTTGAAAGTTATGTCTACGTGCATTCGTTGAAGGAATATAGGAAATTTTTTATCGTGTATTTGATATGGCGTGGCACCATCTTTTTCGAATATCTCAAAGCTCCGGTTTTGGGGAGTTTCTCTCAATTCCTGCTAATAGTTATTTTACGCGGTTACATATTTAAAGCGTAGATATCGGCTATTATATAAACAAAACTTATCGGAAGAATTTATAATTATAAAACCGCATAAAGCTATATCCATACACAGTTTTGTATATCATGTGAATCCTGGTTTATATTATATGTATACTGGTTGATTTAATTAAGGATTAACATTGCTGTGAATGGACTATAATAGCCAGTATTTATAGTAAATGTAGCATGTAAACAATAGGGTGAGACCGTAGATAGCCGTTATTTCCTATATAGAATTCTTTACGTGATAGGCCTGCTTTGATTTACAATATAATGCTATATTTTGCAAAATGAAGGTATCATTAACGATATAATTCTAATGTTGTGAATTATCTGGGCTGGTCGATTGAATAAAAGATAATGGACTTTTCAATCAATGAACGCAAAAATAAGACAGCGCGCAATAAATTGACTAACGAATTTCGTTTACAATATAATTTTATTGTTACATTACAAGTGCAGTATTTTTGTGCTACAGATATGGTCGAGGATAGTGGTCATTATATTTTTATAGACATAATCTAGAATCGAGGAGTATGCTGTGAATGAGTGTATAGATGCGTGAGCGCGTGTAGACGCCAGTATTGTTATAATTTAGGATAGGAGACATAATATAGATAAAGAGTTTCAGCAACTGCTTATGAATAATGCGGCTTTGGCAGCGTGACGCGTCACTAATACACTTCTCGTAAAATAATACAATACTATCATT